TTGAATTAATCAATTAATTATTAAAATTATTCACATATTAATGGTATCAAAATAAATATTAATTATTATAATTATATTTATTACATTCTTAATATGTATTTTAAACAACCTTTTTATTTTATTTTCTAACAAAAATGCTGCTATTTTTTTTTTTTTTTGGGAAATTGTTAAATCCTGTTTCTTTGGAATTTGTGATTGCTACTTCTCGTAAAATGGACAGCCACAGGCTGTTCCGCATATAAAAGCAGAAAGTTTAAATTACTATTTTGGTACTTAAATTTTGAGTTTTGGATCAAGTTGGTTCTTAAACTTCAAAATTTATCAAAATCATCTTTAAACTTTGATTTTCTATTATCTACTTGGTTTTTTGATCAATTAAACAGTTAAATAAAACATTTTCTCATTCAATAGTTTGTTTTTTAAAATTTTAAAAAATTTCATGAAAAATTTGAAATTGCTAATTTGATGAAGTAAACACTTTTTTAATTTAGGTGAGTTATTTTAGTTTATTTATATATATATATATTAGATTTATAAACAATTTTTATTTAAGTCATAAATGATGACTTAAATGAATAATTTGTAGTAGTTAATAAATTAAAAAATGTGAAATTGCTTAACAATTCTTCCCTTTCTCCAACTTCCTCAATCTCTTTTTTCTAATGCAACTTTGTTGCAACTCAAATTTTTAACAATAATTATATATTAAATTATATGATAAATAAAATTAAATAAATATATAAAAATATATAATTTATTTTCGTGTTTCAGGTCTTGATCAGGGAAAAATAAAAGCACGAGGAGGAATTGAAAGAACGAAAATGCCAAATCGGACTTATGTGAAGAAATCAAGAGAAAACAGACTAAATATGAAAAGCTCAAAAAGATATGGATACAATCAACAAAAACAGTTAAAGGTTATTACGGGAACCCAAACCTCATTACCCACAACTTAGGCCAACCCCAAAACCCAAACCCAAAACCCATTAGCGAGCGAGAGGCCCAGTTTAAGTCTCAAGTCCAAAATTGCTCAAACCAGCATGGACTTCACCAGATGCCGGTTGGGCATGGTACATTCTGCTAGGGGTGGGCAAAATCGGTTTCGGTTCAAAACCGAAACCGATTTTGAATTAACC